CTCCCTCAGGACTGGCTTCCAAGGGAGAGCTTCGTGTAGGTCTGCAGGTGTCCTCAGCTCCCTCCTGCTGCTGACAAGGCATGTCTCCAGAATTTTACATCTTAGAATCATTTTGGTTGGAAGAAACCTTAAAAATCATCAAGACTGACCCTTACCACATGAAATTTGCTTCTCTTAACTGAAGTCCCAGTAGGTCTGACTGGTCTGTGGAATCAATTTGTGGCCTAATGTGGCTGGTTTTGCCTCAGCCACCTACAGCCTGGAGCACAAACTGGAACAGCAGTCAGTGTTTTGGTTACAGGCCTGGTGCCCACCAGGTGACTGGGCTGTCACTGCTGCCACCACGTTGCCAGGCCCTGGGCAGGGCCCTGGGCAGGGAGCCACGGTCCTGCTGGTGACACAGGGTGCACACTGCCTCTCCCTGGACCTGACCCAGGCAGCAGCAGTGGCCAAAGCACCCCCCAGCCTTTCTGGTTCCACATGATCCAGTTAGGCTTCAGCTGGAGATCCTGCAGCAGTGCAGCCTGAGCCATCTCCTCTGGCAGGGCCTGACGTTCTGCTTGCTGTCTGTTCTCAGGCATTCGAGCACCTGCTGCAGCTGGAGCTGGTGAAGCCCCTGGAGAGGCCGTCTGCACGCACCCAGCCAGAGTACCTCCTGATGAAGCTGCTTCTGGACAACAACCAGATCATGGATGCTCTGCAGGTGTACCCCAGCTGCCCCACAGAGGTCAAGCAGTGGGCAGCCTCCTCCCTCAGCTGGCTCTGAACCTGCCTCAGCAGGGTCGCATCCTGCCCTCGGACTTTGGGAGTTGCCAGTGAAGCCCAGCAGGTGTGAGTTCCACCACAGCAGGGGGGTTAAGGGAATAAATTCTTGGAAGCAGCTGGCTTTGGTGATGGGTTTCTGGGGTTAAAGCAGCTCTGGTGGTGGCTCGGGGGCTCAGGCCGTTCCTTCTGCAGCACAGCTCCACCTCTGATGCAGTTCAAAGCTCATCCTTTGGGTACTTTTCCTTCTCAAATTTGACTGGACATAGGAAATGGACCTATTTAAACCTGTCATCCCAACTAGCTCCAGCAGGCCAGGGCTGGTGCTGTGTGCAGAAGGGGTCGAGTGAAGCCCTGTTGCTGAAAGGTTGGGGGAAGGGTTATTTTTTTCTCCTCTCTTGGCTGTTCCTTAAAGACACTCTCAGAGCAGTGCACTGAAAAGCAGCAAAGACATCTAGACAGGGTTGTCCTTAACTTTATGACAAGCAGTGGCTTAGACAAACCTCCCTGACACCACGAGACTGGGGCCCTACTGCAAAATAGGAATAAAAAAAGTTGTTGCAAGGTTTCCTGCAGGCAT